GTCAAGCTAAGAAGCTAACTCAGTCAAGAAAACCCTTCAACAGTCGGACCCAGCATATATTTGGATGCTGAGAAGACTGCCTCTTGGATGTGACTGGCATCAGTGGGAGGAACAAAACTGTACTGTACGTGTATGTTTTTAGCAGAAACTGAGATGGCGGAATATACCGATAAGAAACCACACCACTTGCTCGATGAACTTGTCGATGCAAGTCTTGGATTTAAGATCGTTGACAGATTGGCTAGAATCTCTGTAATAATGATTGAACAGAACATTTTAATGAATGAGATCACGTTGGAGTGTTGGAAAAAGACTACGTACCTAACAGGAAGTTTATACGAAGGCATGCCTTCCAGCGTATGTGGTGATCAAGATTCAATGCTCAATTATACTAATTACCCAATTATATTGCACCATCCTGCAGCGGAAGGAGAAACATCATACAGATGGGGACATGTAATAGCCGAGCAGATACCAGATGAACCAGCATTTCTTAGGCTTAAGTCAGTAAATGGTATAGGACCTTACGTACAAAATATGCGTGGTTATGCGGAAGCTAATTATGACTTCGAAACTTTATCTGGGATGGGCATACACGGTCCCGCACTAAAAGACGAAGTTGTATTGCCAATGGAAGAAAAAAACACGATTTCACCAAGTATAGACTATGTTGCTTGTTTGAAATGTCCATCGTGGCCCTCTGTCACGGATGAATATTTTACTAGATTTAGGCCGAGTAATTGGCCATCACGTGAGCTGTTGGCGAAGGTCTTAAGTCAAGGATGTCTTGCAGTTCCTGTTGCTCACCCAAATAGCTCGTCTAAAAACAATGAATGGAGATGGTCGTTTTCCTTAGCCGAGAGAGAGCTCATTCATGGAATGCCTGAACCGTACGTTAAATGCATGTGCGCTCTGAAAGCAGTCAAGAACAAATATATTGTTTACAGTGACCCGACACCATTCTGTTCATATTTCATAAAGACTGCTTGCCTGCGGATGTGTGAAAGATATCCACATAGGGAATACAGTACAATGGACCTTATTAGAAAAACACTAGATTTTCTCATTGAGTGTTATCAACAGATAAGTCTGCCTCATTATTTTATTCAACAACAGAATTTGATTGGTCATCTATCAAAAGAACTTTGCGACTGTGTAATATCAAATTTGATAGCAGTTAAAAGAAATGCCTGGGTAATGGTTATGTCGAGTATTCATGAACACGCTGATTGTGAAGTCATAAACGTACTGTGCAGTGACCTGAAAATTACAAGTATCACTGAACCTGATGACTACAAAAGACTGGAGATGAATCTCTTGAATCATTCTAGTTTGAAAGAAGCGATTGGAAAGTACATTTGTTCGCTCAATCCCGGAGGTGTATTATATAACAAATACAAATCCTTAGAAATTGTGGAATGCACAGAACATGAGCTCAGTTTACTTTCAGTTATCGAATACCTTACAAAAACGAAATCTGACCCTGTTACTTTACTAAGAATTCCAGAAAAGATTATATTGCCAATAATCGATAACATTGCAGATATTGTACCAGATGAATATCAGAAAATGTTTGTGAAATCTTTGTATAGATATCTAGGCGATATGTATATGTATCTGTTGATATACTTTCAAACCAACAAAACAAATTATGATTACGACGATGATGATGATAATGATTATGAAGATTTTTGGCTTTGGTTATTAGATCTCTACCACAATAAACCGATGCATTACTATAACAAGGGAATTGGAACGTTGTTTCCAAAAATACATAACAGTTGCTGCATCGACAGGCTAGCTCATGTTTCAAGATACGAGTACTTAATGGGTAACCACGACAAATTGGATAAGATGCTTACATTTTATCAACCATTTTTGCGTGGAATAAAAGACAACAAAGAAATAATGAATAACCTTGTCAGTATCATGATTAATCCAGAAGTGGCTTTGGTGTTTAATGCTTGGGCCATTGATGAAAAGATTCAGTGTGTTGCCAAAGAGTCTCGTGCGTTTCAGTGTGTTTTGAGTCTTCACCCAGTCGTAATTGTTTTTTATATTCAGGCTAGGATAGCCTTAAAATTCGGGGACAATAAGAAGGCAGCTGAGATTGTTAAGGAGTTGGAGGTATGCTTGAAGACGTGTCTCAGTGAAAGGGTGAAGAAGGCCACCAATTCATTAATTGAAATCATCAACAATGAAATACGAAGTGATTGCTAGAAAGATTTCGAATTCCAATTACACTAATGCTAAAGGGCTGTGTCAACTCAGTACGTTATCTTAAAATATTACTGTAGTTTGGAAATTACAAACAATACAGTATAGTTACAGTAATAGTAAAGCAAAAGTGTTGTATGTTCTTTATATAGTCTTATACTGTATATCAATATTTAATACAACTGTGCATATTTTGAGAAAAATTGTACAGGTACTTTCATAATGGTATTACTGTACTTGATTAAATGCCCTGTTGCTATGGAAAAACTTCATAGCAACCAACAAATTGATATTTTTGGGTGTCTAGAAACCTGATATTTTTGTATTTTTTTTGGTTAAATGTGCAAGAATGGACTATGGGAACAATGACATTTATTTTCACAACACTAACAGAAAAACAAGTGCTTTCACGGCATGTACTACTCAAGTAATAGAGTCGTTTTGAGGTCTCATTCCATGGCCTAAGACTAATTACTTGCACCAAAGAGTATAGAATTGCACAAGGTCTGACTGCCCTGATTTTGTATGCACCCAATGATCGGGGACGCCCTATTACCATCCGCAGCAGAGACTTAGAAAGAGTTTTGCCAACTCGGTTTCACAGGATTCGGCTATACGCGCGTGATTGGGGGGATTGCAATCACGAATTACACCAGCCATGTTGTCCCCAAAACAAAACATCGACGAGCCAAAAACTAACGCGATAGGATTAATTAAAATCCCGTAATTGAATTGTGCTCATGAACAGAATAAATAAAAGAAAATTATGCAACATCAGTGTTATAAATCTAATACGAACGCACGCTGTTTGGTAACAACATGGCGGCAAGTTGGCCAAACACCTTTTACATTTTTTTGAAGGATTCCCATTTAGTTTGTGGTATTATTTTTGAGAAAGGAAACAAGGCAGTCAGACCTCTTTGCTTGTTGAGTACTGTATGTTTGAGGAAAAATATGTGATAGTGTGTTGTAGTTTGGGTCTTTTAAGAACGGTGTGGTGTCTAAAATGCTAATACGTAGAGTATATACATATTATTGAGCTTACAAGTTCAGTTATGAAATAGATTTTACCAAAAATGTACTGAACATATTACATTATCGTATGTAAAACTATTCTGGTTGTAAACCAATTTATGGTCTTGGATATTATCTTCACATTAATAATCAATTGTCTGCATACTGTAGTTTGTAGTTTTAATCCGTAATTATTAATGTGCAGTTTTAGACCCTAATGGAAATGAGCTGGACTCCAGCCTAACAGGTATTCCTGATGCTCATTCATTTTTACTTTTTGTTAACAAATCATTGTTTACCTTGTATGTGCATGTTGAGCATTGAATAAATTCAATCAATGGAACTTTGTTCTTCATTGATAGTCTGACAGACAGTCACTTGATGTGAATGCCCTGTTTTAATTTCTGTCCACACTCTCTCTTTCATTTATCTGCCATGACGGGATGCAAGCACCAATGATGTACAGTTAAACTTGCTTAAGTCCAATAATTTCTAAGTCAATCTTATTTTACATGTCACATTGTTGTGTTTTCCATTTAATAACAATCTGAAAGTTGAATTCTATCTTTAAGTTGAACAATATTTCAATGGCATTTTTTTGGATTCGACTTAGGCAAGTTCAACTGTACTGTAAATATCTGTGGTTTGATAAGGCCAAATCACAGGTACAGTATTTGTAAACAGAACTTAAAAATGAAAATTGACTGATTGAATAAAATGAGTGAAAAACAGCTGTTATGTCAAGTGATTTAATCATTTATGTTAAAGCACTTGAATTTGTAAAAAAAAAAACATTACACACCACATTACTTTCTGTAACATATAGGAGGTAGGTTCTACCATATGACTTCCTCTAGATAATTAAATGTTAAATAATGTATTCAAAATATTAATGTCAGACAATTCATTTTGCTGAAGTTTATGTTCTAAAACAGTATAATTCACAGAAACCACTTCTAGGCAACAAATTAAATAACTAAATGTTATATAATGTATTCCAAATATCATTAATGTCAGACAATTTATTTTGTTGAAATTAAATTTATGTTCGAAAACAGTGTAATTCACAGAAACCACTTCTAGATAACAAATAACTAATACTATTTACTACTACATTAAAAGAAATAACCTACATAATTCAGCCCTTATTAAAAACAGGGACAGGGAAATCTGTTAGATCTGCTGGCTACTTAAGTTATCAGGTGGGACATACTTTTAAATACATATATTATTTATTTTTAACAAAAGTTGTTAGACCAGTTGCAGACATCCAAGTAACTAATGTTGCACTTTCCTGCATGTTCCCAGAATAAATTATGAGATTTCTTGATAGAAAGTTGTCCACTGGTATGAAATAAAATACTGCATTCAAAAAATTATTTTGTGTCAGTCATGGTACATACTTCTGTTTTCCTTTGTTGCCACCTTGTGCATGAGGTAATACTATATTTACATTGTTACAATGTCTTTTACAAGTCGCAGTAGATCTGCTGCCTTGTCTTAGCTTTTCACCTGTTCTGTTTGTTATCTTGTAATGTCTGCAGTGGTTGTGTCTTTGGCCTTCTAAACAAAAGAATATGTGGCTCTGAAAGGAAATATTGAAAAGGCAATTACTGACATAAATGCTTCAATAAATAAGTGCCTCTCTGGATTAAGCACCGCACCAAACATGATTTTTTGTGTGCTGCGATGCTTAATCGAGAGTATATAATATCAGCCTGAGTGTAATGAAACAGGGTTTTAAATCCAATGTAGACAGTGTTAAAATGAATAACTAACACAATGAAACTCCGCACCAAACATTATTCTTCTTTTATTAAGTGCCACGGTGCTTAATTGAGTGTATATAATATTACTCTGTGTGTAATGAAACAGGGTTTTAAATACAATACAGTGTTAAAATGAATAATTAACACAATGAAGACACAAACATTTCTTTACAAATGTTTGTTTATGATAATAAGACCTATGATAGGCCTACTTAACTACGGAAATATATGGCGAAATAGGTAACATGGGAACGGGCATGGAAAGCGCCACACCAATTTTTTTTTTAAGTGCCACTCTTGAATAAGTGCTCCACTGAAGCCTCCAAAAACTTTATAAGCACAGCGGCACTTATTTGAGCATTTACATACAGTAATTGAATTCAAATCCATGCATTATTTTTGTGGAAAATTGACATCCAGATTGTTGATTATTGAAGTGCTTACAGTTTGGCATAAGAAGTACACTGATTGAATTGTTGGTCCTACCTGGTTCATGTGTCATATAGTGGATCCATCCCTGAGATTGTTGGACACCAATCCCTCGCCACTCAGTTTCAGTCATTAAATGCGTCTTGGGAACTAGTTTGGTTATATCCTTGGGCAATATGACATGCCTATAAGAGGAGAAATTATAAATTATTAAGAATATTCATACAGCACATGAAATTTGGAAAAAAATTAATCAGCAAAAATTTGCCGACTTTAAATTTTTCGAGGTCACTAGCCTCGGCAATTTTTTTACTACCTAGGCCTACATAGTATATACTACGATTTTTCAGAATGCTCGACCTTACAGTACATCGTCATCTACAGATTGTGATTTTGTTAATTTCTTTATTAAATCAATATATTGCTCGTGAAAGAATGGTTGTACTTGTATTAATTTAATATTGTAGTTTAATACATATGGTTTACAGTACATAAGAAAATCGTCCAATAAATTTTGTTTTAGCGTTTGTTTTATTGTTTTCTTTGGCATGGAAAATATCACTTTCGTAAATACAGTACTACTATCGTATTATCACAGGCTGCTTCAAAACTGCCCATGCATGTCCATGCGCATGCCCAGAATTATCTATCAGTATCAGGGATATTCCACACAACATGTACAGTACTTGACGGTACATGTACGATGCGGCCGTGATTGCGTTTGAACGGACGGTAGGATTAGGCCTACAATATATTGAATTTTGTTGTTTTTAGATTTAGATACCGTCAAGCATTACGATCTACGCGGCCCACGTGGCTTCAATTGGGCGCTGTTGTAGGCCTTGGCTGGCTAGCGTCATTCCTACCTAGGTAGGCCTAGCCCATGAAACGACTAGGCGAGAAAGACAAGACGGTTGTACATAAATCGCACGTACTGCATTCCAATTAGAAATAGTTATTGTACAAACAAATCTGTTTCATGAACCAGCAATTTTCTTGGTTTGACGACGTACATGAAATTTAGTGTCTGCCATAGCCTGTTTCAGTCGAAGTTTTTGACTTTCCAAGCAGTTTTTGAAGCAAAGAAATCTAGGCCTAGGTTGGCAAAAAATTGCCGTCCTGTAGCAATTCTGGCTCGGCAATATGGTTGGCAATTGCCGATTGCTGACATGAAATTCGTCAGCATGACATGAAACAACTTATTAGATAAACTTGTGATGCTAATTATATTAATTCAACAGAAAAGCAGTACAGTAGTTTAAAATTTAATTAAAGAGAAACTTTTATATAAATAATACCAACTAACAAAAAAGGTGTTTGCAGCATTTATACAGCTATTGTATAATTTTTTTTGTCAATTGTAGTCCTGGCCATAGTGAGGCACTGGCCGGACCAAGCCGGGTACATGCACATACTGTAGTTGTGTAGTGCCGGGACGTATCTAAAACTCACCCATAGATGTAACAGACATCTAAAAGGCCAGGAATTTTACAATGAATGTAGTGCTGCTGTGAAATGGTCTGGTTCTACCATGGTCCTTACACTGGGCCTAGGCATTCAACAATTTGCTGTGTTTTGGTAATTAAAAAATCGCCTACTGGTACTCTAGGCTTACCATCATGGTTTCATTTTTTTTAGATCACAGTATAAATTACATAATAAAATTCAAACCTCCACCACACAACGACAGGGTCCGGGGTGATGTGAATGTGTTGCGTGAAAAATTGTGAACCGTGTATATGACCTATTTTGCGTCAAAAATGACACCAGTAGAGGGGCCAAGGCAAGGAAATCTGTTTCTACTAACTGTATTAATTTTCTTATTTAATTTCTGTTTAGATACCGGATAAATTCTATCAATCAGTTAAATCAATCAATCAATTTTTTTTTCTATGATCAATCAATGTGCACTTTTCCAAATTTCCATGGAAATCTGCCTAGTGATACACATGTGTTGTGTAGTGCTTCCATCAAGCAAGCTCATCTCCTTGGCCTAGCTCTGACATGCTTCTCCATACCATAGGCTAGGCTACTGTAGACCTTCAAATTGTTTTTGTCTCACTCTGTATGTTTGCTACAGTATCATCCAATCATTTATTAGCCGGGCATTTTACCGGACTATGAAATATTTTCTGACAGTAGGTGGCGGGTACTTAGCCACAGATAATAATAATAATAATCTCTTTATTTATACACGGCAAAAACCCAAATTTAACATAGAAAACACAATATCAAAAAAAAAAAAAAAAAAATGTTAAAAGTTGTTCTTCCTTGAGTCCGCGGTTCATTAATTAACAACAATAATTATATGAAAGTTAAAATATTAACAGGAAATTCATCACAATAAATATTATCAATAATAATAATAACAATAACAGCAAAAGATTACAGATACAAACTTATTCAATTTAAGGTAAAACATCAAAAGACACGAGAATTCTCACAAACAGCATAAAAAACAATAATAAGATATAAGATTCAAAAAACTCACACAGAATTTCAGAACAACACATTTCAAACAAACACAGAAAGCAAAGCAAACACAACCATCAGTTCATAAAAGTTTTAAAATTAGGAATCATTCTCTCAGAGGAGGAACCAAAATCATGGCCTAGGCCTAAGTAAGTCCTAGCTAAGCTAGTAGTAGTAGAGTAGTAGGCTAGGCCCTTCTACTACTAGGCCTTGCATAGCCTAACCTAGGTCCTAGCCTAGCAGGCACTGTGTCTGCAGCATGATGAATTCGATGATTTGACTTTTGAATTTATTACGCCTAGGCCTATATCTTATATTCTTTAAATTTATAATGTAAACATACTTACCTATATTCAAAACATTCATCGTAATATTTATCTGAGTAGTAAATATGTTTCTGAGACATGCTTTTACAATTTTATTCACACTTTTCACCATCAAATAATCAAAACTTCGTCTGGTATTACGTACGTGGAGAGGTGGATTGTCTTTGTGAATTTTAATTTTGTAAAGTCTTTCGAATTCACCCGGTGATTTACAATTGGCTGATTTTGGTCACGTTGGGAACAATTGCAGCATTTTGATTGGATGAAGAGAAAAACTTGGAATCTGGATCCTGGATTAGTTCCTGGATTATCAAACACCGCCCTCTTTTGCCAATTGGCCATTGGTCGATACATAGAGCTATTAAACAACTAGAGTGCTGACAAGATGGGGCAGCAACGCAGAGTTATGTATGTGTACCGTCCAAGATGGCCGTCGTAATAAAGCGCCACCCTCAGGCTTAGTATACATATTATTACATATTAATAAGCCCTCTGACTGACTATTATTTCATTAATGATAATGAGTAAATGGTAATAACAAATTATTAAACTATTGTAGCCAAAACAAGGCCAAGTGGAGCATCTTATTCAAAAATAAAGTACCAAGGAATGAAAATTAAAATCGTGTACATTACACCCAAACACCGCAACGCTCGAGTTTCAAACATACGGGTAACTAGCTGTACTGAATTTTCTGAGTAAATTGAGGGCGCAATTGCAAACGATGTGCTTAGCGAAATTTGATTGGCTAAATCTATGGCAGCCATCTTGGATTGTACACACACTGTGTGACACAGTTCTGCGTATTTCGAACATCGAATACATTGCGGTTAGCGCTCTATTCTTATTATATCTCTATGGGTCGATATCGTCTTGAGAATTCGTTTGTTTGTTGTGTTTTGTATTTTCGATCCTCTGGACGGAGAGAGAGGGAGCCGGAGAGGGCATTGAATTTGGTAGGCATGGGAAGGTGATTGCTTGCGAGAAACGTTTTGGCCTAAGAAGTTGGAGGTAGTATTTAAAAACGGATCAAGTTTTCAGGTACTTTATTTGAAAGGTTTGTTGACTGTTGTTAACACGAAGACCATATTAATCGAAGAAGGGAGAAGAAGTGGATTGGTTAAGGACAAACGCAGGCTCTCTCTAGGCTAGAGTCTAGCCAGCCTACCCCTCTGCCAGCCTAGCCTAGTTAAGGCCTGTCTGGCACTAGGTAACAGGTTTAGGCTAGTCCTATTATAGTAGACCTAACCTCTCTAGGCCTAGAGGCCAGTCCTAGCATACTAGGCCTATATAGACTAGTATAGGCTAGCTAGGCCTAAATAAAGAAGTTCAGTCACCCACGACAAATTTGTCATGGTTCGACTGATAAAGCAATAACCACCTTTCTTATTTTATGCACAAAAGTGCAGGGACGTAGCCAGGATTTTGAAAAGGGGGGGGGGGAGCCGTTATGCGAATTACGTATGACACCGGCGGGGTCAAATCTCCCTGTGAAGTAGCGCACTCTGAACATTCTTAGGACTGTTTGAGAGGATAAAGTGAAAATTGCAATAGACGCATTTTAAATAAGCGAAAAAATAATTATATAATAAATCAACAGTGGC